GCCCAGAGATGCGCAGGCAGTCAATGTGAGATTTTTAGTTTTCTTAAATTTTTAGTTGGGATATCAGAAATAGTTTCAGGATAATGTGTTCAGGCCTACCAGAAGATGTCACTATCGAACAAAAGTTTATCATTACAAAATGTTTATATACTAGATTGATTGATTTATATTATAAAAAATAACTCTCTCTAATTCATTGGTTCCCAAACTGGGGTTCGCCAGAAAAATTTCACTAATGGCGGCCAGAGGACCCTGGGCACTAGAGGCAGAAGGTGGGACCCGATTCCAAGGCAGACAGCCCGAGCCCCAGGGAGAGCGGGGCCGCGCAGTTGGGGCTGGCAGCCGAGCCCTGCCCCCGTCAGCAGGGGAGCCGGCTGCCCGAACCCCAGTGCTCCGTGTGGGGCTGGCAGCCTGAGCCCCAGGGAGAGAGGGGCAGGGCAGTTGGGGCTGGCAGCCCGAGCCCTACCCCTGTCAGCGGGGGAGCCGGCCACCCGAACCCCAGCGCTCCACATGGGGCCGGAAGCCCGAGCCCCAGGAAGAGCTGGGCCGGGCAGTTGGGGCTGGCAGCCCGAGCCCTGCCCCCATGAGCGGGGGAGCCGCAGCCAGAACCCCAGTGCTCCGTGCAGGGCTGGCAGCCTGAGCCCCAGGGAGAGAGGGGGCCGGGCAGTTGGGGTTGGCAGCCTGAGCCCCGGCGGTCACCGGAGCGGTCACCGGGGTCCAGCAGCAAGAGCCCCGCCGAGTGTGGAGGAAATTTAAACTTAAATCCCTGGAAATATTCATTTTTTAGAGGGGGTTCACGAGATTTCAGAATTTAGTGAAAGGGGTTTGCGGGCTGTTAAAGTTTGGGAACCACTGCTCTAATTTTAAAATCTTTTTTCACATAACCTACCCAATTAAAAACCTCATTAGCTGTACATTGTAACTGTGTACATACAAACTCTCACTCAACAAGACTGTAGTTATTTTTGTAATGTAGCAATCAAAATCTGTTGCAATTTTTAACTCGGAGGGATGATGTCTTATTAAAGGTAATCTGCAAGAATTTTAAAAAATAATATAATTGCATTATGTGCTGAATGTCTCCAATAACAAAAATTCGGCATAATTGCTTCAGAAATATTTATATTGCAATACCAAGACATACAATGAGCATAAAAAACAGACCCAGATGTCTTCGATAAACAGCACACAAAATCCAGTACAAGGAAAATCAATCAGCATAATACAGGTTTATCGCAGGAAGAGGTGATACTTTGCAGAAAGGATAGTCTATAAATATGAGAATAGTTAAATTAGCAAAGATGAAGCATTTAATAGAGCATGTTATCAAGCAACGTATCAATTTCTTGCAATAAAAGCGCACAAGACTTTCTGTGGCAGAGAGGATAATAAATAGGATCTCTCATATCACAACTAAATGTATTAGCAGCCTAAAACCAAAAAGGCTGCACCATCGGACATGAGCAGATCATATCATAAGTGAGCCCCCTTTTCACTGCAAGCTCTCCAGTACAAGGATATCTCAGGAATCCCCAGAGCATAAAGACTCTCATTAGTATTTACTGAATAACACAAGTGCTATATTGTGCATCCCAGAATTAGGTTCCAAGTACACAGTCAAACATTCTCTTAAATCAATGCTCATAAATTTACTATTCATTTTTAAATTTTAGGTCCCCATAACTCCAGGATTGTTGGCTGCTGCTGCTACAATGATATGTGAACAGCAGAGTGTCTTCTGTGGACTGCAACATAAACCAGAATTTTCTGCTCAATCCTGCAGCCACACTTTATGGGGTCAATTAAGTGGACATGGATTTTTGTTTATTTTTCATTAAAAGGCACGTGTTTGCACAGTGTTTCAGAGAAACAGTTTTTAAACATCTTTTGATATAGAAAATGATGAAAATCACCTTTGCAAACCAGTGCTTTATAACTTAAAAAGTTCCATTTAACTGTCCCCTACAAGTTGGCTCCAGGAGGGTTTCCTAGTTAATGGTACATCACCCAATTCATGCCCAACTGTGGCCAAAGAGCTAGACTCAATAACCTGAGTTTGTCAGGCCTAAAAGAAAAAGAAAAGTTTAATATTACTTATGCCCTGCATGCCCCTTTCACCCTTTGATGTCTGGACAGAGCACCTACTGTATGGGAACCTTAAAAATTTGTTTTAAAAATATTTGCAGGTCACTTTTGAAAAGAGATGAATTAGCTTAGTTCTTTTTAGCTATAAAAAGGGTCACCTTCAAGTACAGAGCTGTCACTTCAGAAATGTGGCAGTGTGTGCACCCCTCCATAGAACCCTACATTGTGGATAACATGGAATTATTCCATCCCAACTTGGGGCTGTGCATCTGGATTTGCACCCAGCCACGTAGCCAGGTGGAGGGAACAGGGGGAGCGATCCAAAAAAAAGCGCCACCCACTCCAGCGCTTTTACTGAGCCAGCAGCGCGCCGGCGGCAGGCCCTCACTTGCTCTGGGTGTCTTCGGCAGTACTGAAGGTCCCGCCGCCTAAGACCCGGAGTGGGTGGCGCCTTTTTTTTGTATCGCTCCCCCTGTTCCCTCAACAGGGGAAAATTTAAAAGGTGCCAAGACTTTGACAAGGCGCCACTTGTGCTCAGTGGGGGAGTGACTGCTGCCCCACTCCCCCCCAGCTATGCAACTGTTTGCACCTCTGGGAAGTATATTCCCGTAGCTACGTTTGAAGATTTAAAAGTTTGGTTTTCTACCAAAGAAGTAAATTTCAGCAATGTTTATGCTCAAAAATGATTCTGAGGTCAAAAGTAGCTTGAAAATAGTCATCCCTCAACTTCAAAAGAGAACCTAAAGCAGGACCATATAGTAGCAAATTACTTTATTAGTACACAGTACAAGTTCCTTTTAAATACATCATATCTCAAATGGATATAAAAAGAATATAAAGATAAAAAAGCTCCTGTAAAACCATTCAACGCTGTCAAAAATATGGAGGGGACCTCTGTAGAAGCTCTGTAGGACATTACAGTGGAGTGGAAGCTTGCAGGGATAGGGATCATGGGAAAAAATGTTTTTGATGATGTGTATATCTCAACCCAGTTAATGGGGTGTTCAGTATATACTGATGAAGTAGACAAATTACCTAAAATAAGTGCATCAATATTTAATTTTCAAAGATAACTGAGCTAGAAAGATTAAAAAAATTAAAATCAGAGGATATTTAAAAACAAGTATAAGATACTGCACATACAAATCATTACCTAAAATATTTTATCTTTAACATCAGAGCTAAGGTAGAAAAAAATATTTATACTTCTGTATTCTTATTATACAAACAGTCTGTAAACATCAACATACTATCTGGGCTCTCATACAGCTATTTCTAAGTAAGAGTGTCTTCCCCTTTATGTCCAACCTCAGAAATAATTTGGAGGATCCTCACTATTGCTATTGATTTTACATGGAAGGTGCTCAGATACTACAGTGATGGGTGGCAGTGTAAGACTAGGATAGATACATTGTTGCGTGGGGTCATCCAACTACTAATAAAACATCCTTCCTACAGAACAAGTTTTGCATCAAGATTCAAGGCTCAGTCTGTCCAGGAGAAACCAGTTCCACAGTCATGAGTTCTTTCACTAAGAAGGCAGAGTATCCAGCTCTTGTGCTAGGTATACCCTGGACTCAATCAAAGTGTCTCTGATAACTGTGGGGCCCAAAGAGAAAGGTTTTTGAGACAGCTGGGTCACAAGCCAGCCAATGCTTTGTAGAGGACTAGAACCTTGAAACAGACTTTATGTTGAATAGGTAACTACTGTAATGTATAAAGCACTGGTATGATGTGGTATGAAGGGCCAGTGCTGCTCAGCAGATCAGCTGCAAAGTGTTGTACCAGCTGCAGCTTCCAGGTGACTTTTTGTTTATCCCAGATATAGTGCGTTACAATAATTTAGCATGAACATGACAAAGTCATGGATCACTGTGGTTAGGTCTCATTCAGTAAGGTCTGAGACCGTTTCCTGATCAGCTATAAACAGAAGAGGTTTCTAGCTACTCATGCTATCTCGGAGTCTACACTCCAAGTTTGCACATAACCTTGATAAAAGGGATACAAAATACTAAACGGTTAAATCGTTAACCCCCAGCCTGGCCCTGCAACCCCAGCCCCTGGGCCAGCCCTCCAACCCCATCCCCAGCTGTCCTGCCGGAGCAGCCCCTGCCGCCCAGGCTGGCTGGCCAGAGCAGCCCCTCTCCCTTTAATCGGTTAACCTATTAAACGACATAATTGTAATAATTTAAATTGTTAACTTTTTAAATGGATAATTACATCCCTACTTGATAATTGAAGAGAGGAGGAAGAAAATACCTTCATTTGAGGTTCCAGTCATAGTTTTTGCTTATTCTTGAAAATATTTTACTCTTAACCAACATCACCTCTGTTTTGCCTAAAATAAGCCCAAGGCAGATGCTTTTCACTCATGTTCCAGGTTGTTTCTGATTTGTCTCTTCTCTTCTAAGATTCCCCATAACAGGCTTTTCTCTTCAAGAAGTCATGAATGCTATCATTTCTTAAGTTGCACATTTTGATTCATGGCTGGCAAGGAACACCTACATGTAACAGCGAAGTACAATGGATAGACCAGCTAGGTAGGACTCCTAAAGAAAAATATATTATTCTGCACAAATGCTACCTCTCCAGAGCCTGAAATTTTTCTTCTAAGCTGGGTTTCTTTTTCAGAAATGCAATTAATTGCTGCTTTGTAGTAAACGTGTGTCTTTTAATTACTTTTAAAATCACATTTCACCAAGTAGCATCAATAATTTAATTCACAATTATAAATGCAGTACAAAAGCTACACTCAAAGTTCTACTCTTCTGATTTTCACAAACATAGCAGAAAAAAAGTAGAATTTGTCATCTCATTGAAAACCTACCAGTTTACAGAATAAAAGGTCATCAATAAAGCTTAAAAAGATATGAATTTGTTCTATGTAATGCTCAACCATCAGGTTCAATACTTACCCTCAGTGTGTGATGTTCTTGTGCTAGTAATGCTGTGACTTCCTCCTGCAAGGTAATGATCTCTAGAAATTGCCCCCACAGAGCCATCAGAAGAGAGCAAAGCTGTGCAAGATTCATGTTTATAAGTTCTGCCAGTTCATCAGGATTTTCCATTTTCTGAAGTCAGGAAAAAATATTCTTACTAAATCTATAAATGCTTGTTTATAGATGATGCCTTCACATGAACACAAAAACAATGAAATAAACTCAGTTTCATATGGTAAAATATTTACCCTTACAACAATTCTACAAAAAGAGAACTCTTAAATTAAAGCTTTTTTGTCCAAACATCAAAAACAACTGGTTTCATTTAAAATTACATTAATTAATTAAAACAGAACACTTTTTGTGTGGTTCCAGATATTATCCTAGAAAGTCTTTTAGAATCAGGTCACATCGTCTTAAATTACAATGAGAACTTGACTCGTATCAACTGTAATTTTAAAATGAAGGCCAGGTTGTAACCACTGTACTTGGTAGAGTTCTAAACTACAGTGTGAAGTACAAAAACTGGGAATCAGAAATTAGAAACATGACACTAACAAAAATTGTATCACAGCCAATGATGGGTGTTGCGGGTATAAAACTGAGATACTGATGCTATCATACAACTAGTTTAAAACAAGTCATCTCCCCTCCAGAACTGACCCCACTGATTATGACTGTGTGATACTTGTATTTTTAAGTCAGTTTGCTTCCTCAGGGCCCACTCTCACACGGTGTTAATGACCTCATAGAACCAGGCCCTCTCAAAAGAAAGATACATAGGAAATTAGTCTTTCCTTCTTCATAGTTTACTGCATCCCTAGGACATTCTCTTGTAGCATGGTTCCATTACAGTTAAATGTAATTTGAGTGCTACGGACGGTGTCTTTGGTTAGTATTCCCTGAAATAAGGGATTTTAATATTCAACTACTATGTATATTTTAACACTAATCTAAAATGATCTCAAAAATACAGCACCATACATTAAAATTGCTATTGGACCAGCTGCATGTTCTTGAAGCCCTACTATAAACATATAAATGGCAGGTGAAGTGGTAAGAGAAGGTAATCAAGGTGAGAAATTATCAAGGTATTGAGGCAAACGTTTTAGCAGCTGAGTTAGTAAAGAAAGAGCTGATTTTGGTCATGTTATAGAGAAAGAAGAAACAGGAATTACATGTAGTGTGATAATGCACAAGTCCTCCCTTCTTCAGTTCCTTCCCACTATTTGTTGCTCTCATTTAACATTCTGTCTGAACTTTAGGCTGCATGAACTTCAGGGCCTAGCCCAATCTGAAGGAGGGGGAGGAGCAGGGGCAGGTATATGCAGCTTCCATCTAACTTGTCCTAGTATTTTACCTAAATCTCCTTTGCTGCAGATTAAGCCCAATACTTCTTGTCATACATTTAGCAGACATGGAGAACAACTGATCACAGTCATCTTTATAACAACCCTTAATATATTTGAAGACTTATCACGTCCTCTCAGTCTTCTTTCCTCCAGAATAAATATGCGCAGGTTTTTTTTTTTTTTTAAAACCTTTCTTCAGAGTTCTGTTTTTTTCTAAATTCCTTATCATTTTCTTGCTTTCCTCTGGACTCTCCAATTTTTCCACATCCTTCCTAAAGTGTGGTGCCCAGAACTGGATACAATACTCCAGCTGAGACCTCAGCAGCGCCAAGCAGAGCTGGACAAGTACCTCCCATGTCTTACATACGACAATCCTTTTAATACACCCCAGAATGCTGTCACATTGTTGATTCATTTAATTTGTGATCTACTATAACCCCCCAATCCTTTTCAGAAGTACTGCCACCTAACCAGTTATTTCCCATTTTGTGTTTGTGCATTTGATTTTTCCTTTCTAAACGTAGACTCATAGACTTTAAGGTCAGAAGGGACCATTATGATAATCTAGTCTGACCTCCTGCACAACGCAGGCCACAGAATCTCACCCACCCACTCCTGTAACAAACCCTCGACCTATGTCTAAGCTACTGAAGTCCTCAACTCATGGTTTAAAGACTTAAAGATGCAGAGAATCCTCCAGCAAGTGACCCGTGCCCCACGCTGCAGAGGAAGGAGAAAACCCACCCAGGGCCTCTGCCAATCTGCCCTGGAGGAAAATTCCTTCCCGACCACAAATATGGCGATCAGCTAAACCTGAGCATGTGGGCAAGACTCACCAGCCAGACACCCAGGAAAGAATTCTCTGTAGTAACTCAGATCCCACTCTATCTAGCATCCCATCACAGGCCATTGGGCATATTTACCGCTAATAGTCAAAGATCAATTAATTTCCAAAATTAGGCTATCCAATCATACCATCCCCTCCATAAACTCATCAAGCTTAGTCTTGAAGCCAGATATGTCTTTCGCCTCCACTTCTCCCCCTGGAAGGCTGTTCCAGAACTTCACTCCTCTGATGGTTAGAAACCTTCGTCTAACTTCAAGTCTAAACTTCCTGATGGCCAGTTTATATCCATTTGTTCTTGTGTCCACACTGGTACTGAGCTTAAATAATTCTTCTCCCTTCCTGATATTTATCCCTCTGATATATTTATAGAGAGCAATCATATCTCCCCTCAGCCTTCTTTTGGTTAGGCTAAACAAGCCAAGCTCTTTGAGTCTCCTTTCATAAGACAGGTTTTCCATTCCCCGGATCATCCTAGTAGCCCTTTTCTGTACCTGTTCCAGTTTGCATTCATCTTTCTTAAACATGGGAGACCAGAACTGCACACAATATTCCAGATGAGGTCTCACCAGTGCCTTGTATAACAGTACTAACACCTCCTTATCTCCACTGGAAATACCTCACATCCCAAGACCGCATTAGCTTTTTTCACAGCCATATCACACTGGCGACTCATTGTCATCCTGTGATCAACCAATACTCCGAGGTCCTTCTCCTCCTCTGTTACTTTCAAGTGATGTGTCACAAGTTTATAACAAAAATTCTTGTTATTAATCCTTAAATGCAGGACCTTGCACTTTTCACTATTAAATTTCATTCTATTACTATTACTCCAGTTTACAAGGTCATCCAGATCTTCCTGTATGATATCCCAGTCCCTCTCTGTATTGGCAATACCTCCCAGCTTTGTGTCATCTGCAAGCTTCATTAGCACATTCCCGCTTTTTGTGCCAAGGTCAGTAATAAAAAGATTAAATAAGATTCGTCCCAAAACCAATCTCTGAGGAACTCCACTAGTAACCTCCTTCCAGCCTGACAGTTCACGTTTCAGTATGACCCATTGTAGTCTCCCCTTTAACCAGTTCCTTACCCACCTGTCAATTTTCATATTGATCCCCATCTTTTCCAATTTAGCTAGTAATTCCCCATGTGGAACCATATCAAATACCTTACTGAAATGAAGGTAAATTAGATCCACTGCGTTTCCTTTGGCTAAAAAATCTGTTACCTTCTCAAAGAAGGAGATCAGGTTGGTTTGACATGATCTATCTTTTGTAAAACCATGTTGTATTTTGTCCCAATTACCATTAACCTCAATGTCCTTAACTACTTTCTCCTTCAAAATTTTTTCCAAGACCTTGCATACTACAGATGTCAAACTAACAGGCCTGTAGTTACCCGGATCACCTTTTTTTCCCTTTCTTAAAAATAGGAACTATGGTAGCAATTCTCCAGTCATACGGTACGACCCCTGAGTTTATAGATAAATTAAAAATTCTTACTAATGGGCTTGCAATTTCAGTGCCAATTCCTCTAATATTCTTGGATGAAGATTATCTGGGCCCCCCGATTTAGTCCCATTAAGCTGTTTGAGTTTCGCTTCTACCTCAAATATGGTAATGTCTACCTCCATATCCTCATTCCCATTTGTCATGCTACCATTATCCCTAAGATCCTCTTTAGTCTTATTAAAGACTGAGGCAAAGTATTTGTTTAGATATTGGGCCATGCTTAAATTATCCTTGACCTCCACTCCATCCTCAGTATTTAGCAGTCCCACTTCTTCTTTCTTTGTTTTCTTCTTATTTATATGGCTATAGAACCTTTTACTATTCGTTTTAATTCCCTTTGCAAGGTCCAACTCGACATGGCTTTTGGCCTGTCTCACTTTATCCCTACAAGTTCTGACCTCAATAAGGTAGCTTTCCTTGCTGATCCCTCCCATTTTCCACTCCTTGTAGGCTTTCTGCTTTTTCTTAATCACCTCTCTGAGATGCTTGCTCATCCAGCTTGGTCTACAACTCCTGCCTATGAGTTTTTTCCCCTTTCTTGGGATGCAGGTTTCTGACAGTTTCTGCAACCTTGACTTGAAGTAATTCCAGGCCTCCCCCATCTTTAGATCCACAAATTCTTCAGTCCAATCTACTTCCCCAACTAATTTCCTTAATTTTTTAAATTTAGCCCTTTTGAAATCAAAACGCCTCATCACAGATCTATTTTTGTTTATCCTTCCATTTAGTTTGAACTGAATTAACTCATGATCGCTCGAACCAAGGTTGTCCCCTACAACCATTTCTTCTATGAGGTCCTCACTGCTCACCAAAACCAAATCTAAAATGGCATCCCCTCTTGTTGGTTCAGCAACTACTTGGTGAAGGAATCCATCAACTATCGCATCCAGGAAAATCCGAGCCCTATTATTATTACTAGCACTTGTCCTCCAGTCTATATCTGGGAAGTTAAAGTCTCCCATGATCACACAATTCCAATTAGTATTTACTTCATTAAAAACATTAAAGAGGTCTCTATCCATATCCAAATCGGATCCCGGCAGTCTATAGTACACCCCAAGCACTATCCCAGGGGAGGCTATAGTAGCTTTCTTCCCCAATGTATTTTTGCCCAGACAGACTGTGTCTTATCCATTCCGTCACTTCTTATTTCTTTACAGTCTACCTCATCACTGATATACAATGCTACTCCACCACCTTTGCCTTTATTTCTCTTTCCTAAACAGCATATACCCTTCAATACCTGTACTCCAGTCATGACTACTATTCCACCATGTTTCTGTTATCCCTAGAATATCTGGTTTCACTTCCTGCACCAATAGCTCTAGTTCCTCCATTCTGTTACCTAGGCTCCTCGCATTAGTGTACAAACATCTTAATTTTTGCTGTTTGGATTCTCTCACATTCTTTACCCAATTAGGCACAGACATTCTACCATCAGTATCACCTATTAGACTAGTATCTACACTACCCTTCCTCCTTATGTCCATTCTCCTACCCAGGGCTGTATCCTTTCTTACTTCGTTTTCTTCCCTCTCAATGTTAAAATCCGGCATGGAGATTACCTGGACATCTCCCAACCATCTCCCCCAAATTCACAGTTTAAAGTTCTCAATCAGTTGTGCCAGCCTCCATCCTAAAACTCTATTTCCCTCCCTACTCAGGTGAAGTCCATCCCGAGAGAACAGTCCTCTGTCCATGAATGCTTCCCAGTGGCCATACATCCCAAAGTCCTCCTTATAGCACCACTGCCAGAGCCATCTGTTGATCATCATCGCCTTGTGCTTTGTACTCCTCTTCACTGAATTTCAGACCAATTCTCCAATTTGTCTTGGTCCTTTTGAATTCTAATCCTGTCTTCCAAAGTCCTTGCAACCTCTCCCAGTTTGGTGTCATCTGCAGATTTTATAAGCATACTCTCCACTACATTATTCAACTCATTAATGAAAATACTGAATAGTACTGGACCCAGAACTGACCGCTGTCGGACCTTACCAGATACATCCTCCACATCTGACAGTAAACCATGGATAAGTACCCTTAAGTATGGTTTTTCCACCAGCTGTGCACCCACCTTACAGTAATTTCGTTTAGACCAGTGGTGCTCAACCTCATACTACTGTACCCTTTTCAGGAGTCTGAAGCCTGAGCCCTGCTTCCCGGGACTGAAGTATGTAACTTAGCTTCACGGGTCCCCCTGTGGTGTGAGGCCCAAGGCAATAGCCCTGCTGCTGCCCCCTAATGCTGGCCCTTCACTGCCACCCCACTAAATCTGTCACACAACCCCTTAGGGGTCATGACGCTCACGCTGAGAAACACTGATCTAAATGAGTTGATGTACTCTCTGGAAGACCTCTGCGTAATGCCAGGGGTTTGGGTATCCCTAGTTGAGAACCACTGGTTTAGACCACACTTCACTAGTTTGCTTATTAGAATGTTATGTCAGGACTCTGCCAAAAGCCTTACTAAAATCAAGATATATCACACCTACTGCTCCCCCCTCCCCCATACATGAGGCCTGTAACCCTGACAAAGAAGCAAATTAGGTTGGTTTGGCATGATTTGTTCTTGACAAATCCATGTCGGCTAGTCTTTATAACCCTATTATCCTCCAGGTGTTTACAAATGGTTTATTTAATAATTTGTTCCAGTATCTTTCAAGATATTAAAGTTAGGCTGACTGCTCTGTAAATCCCCAAGTCCTCTTTATTCCCCTTTTTAAAAGACATTCTATGTTTGCCCATCTCCAGTCCTTTGGGACCTCACCCATCCTCCATGAGTTCTCTAAGATAATTGTTAACAGTTCCAATATTCCTACAGCTAGTTCCTTAAGCACCTTAAGATGCATTTCATCAGGCTCTGCCAACTTGAATGCATTTAACTTCTCTAAATAGTCTAACTTGTTCTTTTCCTGTTTTGTCTTCCATTCCTTCCACTTTGTTGTTAATATTAATTGTGTTCACCATACAGGTGGCTGGAATCTGGTCTTGTGTGGTGTGTTTGTGGGGAGGGTGTAAGTGTAAAGTATCCAGCATGCTTTTGAAGGCTTAAAGAGTAAATAATTCAAAGTAAAAAACTTCACAGAGATTTTAATTCTGAGAGATTGAAAATATTGGTATTTTCAACAGTCAGAAAAAAAGAAATAGGAGGAAAAAATATAAAGTTCCATTTTGGAAAAGATTAGTTTAAGATGACAGTGGGACAAGCCAAAAGGAGATATCTTAGACATATTTGGAGACACAAGACTGGAGTGAAAAGACAAAGGACAGAGATTTGGTAATCATCTAGGTGAGGATGAGAGAAGAGATGGGGAACAGAGACATAACCTCTAAGTGATACCAATGGATAAGAGAACAGGGGAAAGGAAAGGATAAGACACCGCTGAAGAAGATTACATGGTGATCAGAGTGATGCAGGGGAAACCAGAAGAATGCAGAGGTGAGGAAGCTGTGAGAGGATCTAAGGAAGAGAGGTGTGATCAGCTATGCCCAAAGAAGGAAAGAGATAAAGAAGACTACATAAATGTAAGAAGTTTTCAGTCTGTGAAGCAATGTTGGCCTGTGAAACACTTCCTAGTGGTCCACGGAGAGCTGGCTAGTCACATGGTGCTGACTTTCCTTGTTTCCAGCTTTCACATCATATTAAATACAGGAAATGATTTATTTTTAGCTAATGTTTCTTTTCCACCTAAGCTATACTGCTGTATGTAACTGCCTTAGCAATATTATGCTATTGAGAATGAAAGGGAAAGTGGACTGCATATTCCTGAATAACAGGGGAGATGGACCACACTAAGAAAATATTTGTGAACTCCTGCTTTAAGCTTTAGGAAAGGGAATATAAAGGCATACTGGAAACTGTGTGTGTATTAGTAAAATAAGGAAAGTTGAGTGAATGAAAGAAGTAGTGAGGGAGACTGGGAGGCTGGGCCAGTTGTGGGATAGTAGAAAGAAAACATCAGAACCTGGGAAGGAGGTAAAGTAGAAGAGAAGGCTGTTGAAAGAAAATCTTGTTGTTTTTTTTTATTTTCTCAGATTCTAGGCAGAGAAGGATTAGAAAGAGAAGACGACAGTTTAAAAGGGAGTAGAATGTAAAGAAGATTTGGTAGAGTTTAGCAGTGAAGAGAGAAGGAGAAATATCAAAATTAAGATTGACTCAGTAATCTTTTGCATTTGAGACATCACTAGTAACCATATCACTCAGCGTGCCACAATCCATAATTGGGATAAAGCATCTCTTGGAATGAGCAACGAACAACCCAGAAAATAATTACCCAAAATCAATAATTTCTCTCTGCAGCAATCTATGAAATACTGATAGAAAATACTTTGCTTTTAACTTATTTTACATTTATTATGAATAAAAGACAAAAAGTACCTTTACTTCTTCACACAGTTCTGTAAGGCGAGCTTCTACATCTATGTTCTCTATGGAAAGATTAGGGTGCATACGCATGAAATTATATTTTACCAAATTCAGACCCATATTTTCCAACTTGTAGAACAAATCAACTTCCCTCATAAAGCAATTTAACAAAAAAGACTCAAAGAAAGCTTGATGTCATTTAAAGTACTACCATTAACTTGAAAACTAGTACATTTCAAAATCTGAGCTATAACGTTTCAACTAATATTAAGACCTTGAGTCTCTATGTTATTTTTTCATTTTATTTTATAATTACATTTGCCTATTTTTTAAAAAAATCTCTCCTGTAGCTGTTTGAAAAACAATGAGAAATGAGTAACTGACAATACTGAAGGAACAGGGACACATGGTATGCTGACAAATACACAAAGAAAACCTTCTGATAAAGAGAGGAAAAAAATTCCTTTAATCTCAGTAACCTTAGATATTACCTATAACAATTTAAAGCAAAATATTTTCATATAGAAGTGTGATTTTTTAATTGATGATATCTCTTTAAAGTAAAGCAGCATAATAGAATGGAATTGACATTTGTATCTTTGTGATTTGAAATGATTTAAATCAAGACTACGGTCATGATGATGCAATTAGATCAATGTGGCTGGACCCCTTCACAGCCTCACTCACTTCAATAGGACTCATCCTCATGGATCGGATTGCAGGATCAGGGCCTAAGGGTTGATTATATGATGTACATTCCTTATTTCAGGTAACAAACACATAGGCCTCAATACACTTCTAAATGTGAAAAACTAAGCACATAAGTAATCCTGTTGAAGTTAGCGGGATAGCTTGCATGCCTAATACTCACACGTGTAAGTGTTTTTTGGAGCTCTTCCACACTTATAAACAATTATTTTCTGAACTTTATAAACTGTTCATTTTTCTCAACTAGAGAAAACTTCTGGACTAAAATACTTTCATATCAATAGACAATTTTAGATTAATAAAAACATTAATTTATTCTTTTAAGAAGTCTGTGTAAACACTGTTTTGTATGTACATAAGCATTTGTATTTGATTGTACATCTACCTACATATAATTTGTATATGTATTTATATACTTGATACTGTAAAAATAAACATTTTGCATAAAATTTTCTAAAGCACCTAAATGACCTAAGAGCCTAAGTCTAACTAGAAAAGGGGCTTATACACTCTTAAAATTTTTATTCTTTAAAACTGTTCTTTTAAATATCTGCCAAAGTAAAGTTATCAGAAATACTGCAGCTCTGAAATAAGTAACAATTAGAACTATTTTGTCTATGCATTTGGAATGGCAGCATTTTTGTTTTGAAAGAGTTTAGAGCATAGTAGTAGAATCTGATCATGTGCAGGGCTGAGAATGGGGCACAACCTATTTACATAAAAAAGCGGGTAGCAAGTGAATGCCAAGATCACTTACAAAACAATTGCATATCTCTCACCTACTCAAAAAGAATCTGTTTTTAAAGAAGAGTTCTCTCAGATGAAATACCTTGTCAAGTAAGTTGGCCACTGAAGTTACCATTTTTGTTACCTTAATTCAAATTATTCAGGGAATACATATTTGTTCAAAAAGAACTACTCTTTCTTTATCATTTCAAGTTGTCAATATTGTGAAATCGCACATGATGGCAGCTTGAAATAAGATCACAAAATGTGGATGACTTATTTATAAACATATGGCACATAAGAATTTCCAAAAAGTAGAAATATTTACTCACACTGTTTAGTAAGAATGAATTTAGTGGTGAAATTAACAGGACTGTTTGCAGAGTAAGGGCCAGATCTTACAAAGATTTATGCACGAGTCTCATATCATGAACTCTCAGGTCTGGTCTACACTGGTGGCGGGGGTGGGGTGGGCGGGTGGTGTCGATTTAAGTTACACAACTTCAGCTACATGAATAACGTGGCTGAAGTTGACGTACTTGGATCTACTCACCGCGGTGTCTTCACTGCAGTGAGTCGACAGCTGACGCTCCCCCGTCGACTCCACCTGCGCCTCTCGCTCTGGTGGAGTACCGGAGTCGACAGGAGAGCGCTCAGCGGTCGATTTATCGCGTCTAGACTAGACACAATATATCGACCCCTGTTGGATCGATCGCTGCCCGTCGATCCTGTGGGTAATGTAGACAAGCCCTCAGTAGTCTCACTGATTTATATTGCCAGGAGATAATTTATTTCCTCAGTTCCTTGATTTTTATGATATTGTAGGTATCTCAAAAAATGGAATACCAGATAACTACCCTAGACAAATCTGTATACAAACAGTAATTTACGGAACATTCTGCCATCTTACCTCAGGCTCCATGAATAAGGATGGCAGAATATACCTCAAAATTAATGTTTGTGTTCAATTTGTATGGTTAATTCCATTTTTGAAACATTGCAATATCATAAAAATGAAGGACAAGTGCGGAAATACATTTTCTCGTGGAAACATGAGTTAACACTAAACCTCCTGTTATAAAAAATTTAGGATATACTTAATACTTATAGAATGACAAACATTTACTTAATTTATATTAATGGATTTCTTATAATGATTTGGGTAAAATATATTTAAATTACATATTTTCAAAAAAGTTTGAAAGTAACACCAAATGACCTAATCTACATAACTAAAAGCCTATTTCGTTTTGAGAAATCAAGCTTTCAATTTGTAGTAATGCAAGTTGTCAGAAACTAGTAAAAATAGCAATTAAAAACAATTACATACACTCCTATAATCAAAATAGCTGATAAAGATAATTATCCCCTTCTCCCAACAGCTTAAATGAAAATTTGTCATCTGAGATACATTTTCAGTTGTGTGTGGGACCATGCAAATTCAAAAGGAGTACTTGTGGCACCTTAGAGACTAACCAATTTATTTGAGCATGAGCTTTTGTGAGCTACAGCTCACTTCGCATCTGATGAAGTGAGCTGTAGCTCACGAAAGCTCATGCTCAAATAAATTGGTTAGTCTCTAAGGTGCCACAAGTACTCCTTTTCTTTTTGCGAATACAGACTAACACGGCTGTTACTCTGAAACCATGCAAATTCAGTTACTTGTGAAAAAAATTATATGGCTTATTCAACCATCATCATGCTGAAGGTTTACTGTGCATGTCAACTGCAACCCAAAACTGATTTTACATCCCAGTTATAATACTTTGAGGAACAAGTTGAAAGATGAAACTGAAACTGTAATACTATAATTAACTGAATATAACTAACTTCAATCATACCACCTTATAAAGTAAAATATTCTGTATCAGTAATGTTCATCCAGCAATGATTTGATATGATTTTGCTGGCTCTTTGGTTAAAAAAACAGTGAAAAATTCCAGACAAAACAGAGTCATACTTGGTCTATGCTAGGCCTACTAGAAGTCTCTGCACTGCCATGCAATAGACCTGCGACTGATTTGTGGACCAGTTTCTCTCTCCCCACCTCTGAGCTGGAGTGTGCTACAATATCATCCTCCCCTGGCCAATTATGGAAAAGTGCTGACAATCTCCAAAGAGAGAACAGCTGCAATTTAAGCCTTGAGAACTGGTTGGTTTAGAAATAAGAGAAAACAAGTTGGGAGGCTCTAGCAGAGACATGGAAGATTCCCCAGGAAGAAAATACATTCTTCTTTATCATTTAGAAATCTGAAGTTGTACCAATTAATGAAGCTAAATGAAATTCTTGTTTTCTCCAGTTATTTGATTTCAAATCAGGTGAAGCCACTTAACTATTCAATCACTTCTATTTTATTAAACAGAAAGAAACTAAACTGAGTATCAGTAGTGGTAGCTCATTCCACTGACATACAGTGTTAGATTTAGCCCAGTCACTGTTCTCACTGGAGTTCCACATATTTGCATCAGGGTTGAATATGGTCCTTAGTTTTTTTTGCTCCACTTTAAACCTGAAACAAAAATACTCTGCACTAATAATAAAAATCTAAGGGATTATATCACCTGCTTTAAAAACATACCTAGATAGGCGTCTCTCTGGGTTCGTGGATATTTTCTTCTGAGAAGGCGTTCATAAAGGACCTGCATGCTGGCCTTGGCTAGTTATAAGGATTGCACACAGATGACTAGTTACTACACTCTTTTTTTTTTTTTTCAATCTGTGCATATTTGCCTTAAAGTTAGTAAGAAAGTTTATTGCTAGCCTAGAAATTAGTGCAATTGGAATAGAACATTAAAGCATATAATTTTAGTAAAGTTTCTAGACTAGGTGTTACTCATGATGTACATTAAGGCTGTTTTTGAAATTTCCTAATGTCTGTTTTGTTTTTTAAAAACGAACATTGATCAAATGCTAACAATTAAGTTTATTTATAAAGTCCAACAGTATTTTGCATATACTGTTGCAAATTCAATTTGTTTAAAAAAAATATAGATCAACACTTTTAAATGAATAAAAATGTACATCATAGAATTAAGTGAACAAAAGAAACAAAATTAAAGCAAGATAAAGACATTTTATTTAAAACAAAGGGTAACAATACTTTTTATGAGATTTAAAAAGGATTTGGGATTTTTTCCCAAAAAAGCCTATTTGAATCTCAGATATAAAATATACTTTACCGTGTAAAAACTCAAGATAAATAGTAACAACAAATGGCAAAAATAAAACATGTAATATAGAATGTGAAAATCTAGTGTGCAGGGTTTTTTTGTTTATTTTTACAGAAGTGCAGTTGTCTCTGATTATTGCTAGTTTTTAAAGAAAACTGTCCTTGTTCTTAGCTATCAGTATTGGTTATTTTCCAGAAGCAAAAGTGAATAATGTTAGAAATGTTAGTATCTGTATAAACAGCTTTAGTCACTGTTGTCATATAAACAGTCCAGATCTAAGCATATACAACATAACAGAAATAACAAAAAAAAATTCACAGATAAGAAAAAAAAAGGATATGAGCATACTAAACTGTAAAGATTGAGAAAAAAATTAAAATATAGAAAATGTTATCAATAAATGTACAGTATATATAGAAGATGAGTCAATTTTCAAAGCACTAAATATATTATTTTTGATTATTTTGGTTCAAACTTGCAGAATCTCAAGGTAAATTAAAAAGAAAAGGAGGACTTGTGGCACCTTAGGGACTAACAAATTTATTTGAGCATAAGTTTTCGTGAGCTACAGCTCACTTCATCAGAATGCATCCAAAGCTTATGCTCAAATAAATTTGTTAGTCTCTAAGGTGCCACAAGTCCTCCTTTTCTTTTTGTGGATACAGACTAACACAGCTGCTCCTCTAAAAGGTAAATTAAGATTCTGAAAGTAAGTATGAGCCCAACCCACTTAAGACTATGGGAATCTTTCCACTGACTTCAAAGGGACTTGGATGATACTTTACAGTTGTATTATTCAAATCCCGGTTTCTATTTTATTACATATTTTTTATTTTATACGATGTATTAGGGAATTGAAGAAAAAGCTGTGATTCATTCAGAAGTTCAATCTGGAGTTTCAATTAAATAATTTTGGTATTCTAAGCATATCTTTACGTAAAGAGTAAAACTAATAGATACTATTTGGCACATAAGGCGTTTTCTTGCTAAAAGCTGAGTTATTCACATAAAAAGGGTGTTCCCCACCACAGGAGGATTAAAGTAATTGGCACACAATATACTTTGTACTGTGACTAAAAGCACTGCTCCTGTTCTTGATGATAGAAAGCCTAGTTTCTCGTGTAAATGGTACTTTAATAAATATAAATTTTTATGCAGAAAAAAAGACACCATATCAAACAGATTACAGTAGAACCTCAGAGTTACAAATACCATGGGGATGGAGGTTGTCCGTAACTCTGAAATGGTCATAACTCTGAACAAAATGTTATGGTTGTGCTTTCCAAAGTTTACAACTGAACATTGACTTAATACAGCTTTGAAACTTTACTATGCAGAAGAAAAATGCTGCTTTCCTCTGTGTGTGTGTGTTAGTTTAACACAGTACTGTACTGTGTTTCCTTTTTTTTTTTCCTTTTGTCTCTGCTGCTGCCTGATTGCGTACTTCCGGTTCCAAATGAAGTGTGTGGCTGACCCATCAGTTCATAACTTTGTTGTTTGTAACTCTGAGGTTCTACTGTATTTATGGGGTATTCCTCATATTAATAAATTTTTTTCTTTCATTTTTTGCCAACACTTTTCATGTCTCAAAGTCCTGCATGGTAAATGCCTACTGATTACTCATCCTATAATGTTAAAAGACAAAGCAAATTAACAGTAGTGGAAATGTTAACCCCTATCAAATAACATACTCATGGATTCCAAAATGCCCTTCCCCCTTTTTTTTTAAAAAGCCAAAAAGTTTTAATGTTCAACACAAACGTGCTTGATGTAAACTCTAGTGGTCCTTGAGAATGCCAATGCATTATCCCTTTACACCTATGCCATCTTTTTGGTTGCACAACTCAAAACTGACATTAGCTTAGTACTAATCCTGCATGTTAGAGTAGGTCTACACTTAAAATGCTACAGCATAGACATTGCCTACATCGATGGGAGAGGATCTCCCATTGGCACAGGTAATCTCCCTCCCTGAGAGGGACCTACTCACTCTGTCTACACTGGAGGTTAGGTCAGTATAGCTATGTCTCTCACGGGTATGGATTTTTCACACCCCTGAGAGACAAAGATATACTAAAGTAAATTCCGATTGCAGAACAGACTTATTAGAAGAACTATATTTTTAAGCAATATTTCCTTAGCTCCATCTGCAAAAGGTGGCTGATTCAAAATATGTTCTCTAACTGTTCAATTTTAATCATGATGAGAAAGTGGCTACTCTCAAAACTAAACTTAATCTTACTGACTGTTCAGTTACATAGATTTAGTCCACAGCGTAATCTGTTCTTCCAAAGTCTCAGATAATTAATATTATGTCAATTTAAGAGCATCCAGCCTTTAAAAAACAAAAAATTGACTGAGAAATAATTTCTTCTTGAGGCCTTATTTTCAAGTTTTCCCCATGATGTTCTTTTCAAATAAAAACTTACAGCATTTAGATTTTGTTTTTAGAATCAAACTTTAAACTTATTTATGTACAACAATCACATTTCCTTACAGCATGCACATAGGCATAATACAGTATTTAGACTAAGGTGGGGATTTGCTTCAAATATTTTTAGTACTAATGTATTGATTTGAAAAAGCTATAAGAAAATAATTTAAGATCCTGTAAAGCCAGTTTGTTAATCTTATTAACTTGATGGCAGTGTTTTTTTTAAAATATTTTTGATCATTACTAAAAGACTCATTTCAATTCCAGTAGTAAAATAGCAGGTGCACAACAGGTACAAGGTATAAGATTAACTATATTTCAATCTAGAAGAAAGGAGAGAAAACAGGCCTTTCTAAGGAGCACAGCAAGAAGACAGAAAATATCTTTGTGATAGAGAATAAAAGTGATTTATTTTATTGTGTTCAGCATACCCAGTTCTATTCGGTGTGAGGAGGGGAGCTCCTTTGCTATCAGGATGAAATAGCTGTGTAACCCTTTAAATGCAAGCAGCAAACTGGCACAAAGTGTGTAGTGGAGATTGTAGGCGTGATTCAGGAAGGACTCCGCAATCACAAAACTGCAACCCTAAAAAAGGATTAGTATACATATTAATTACATACTATAAAATTGCATTAACAGAATAACTAAAAAGATGTTCTATAGATCATCCTCCACCCCAAACTCATCTGAAACAAACTCATCCCTAGCCCTGCAATGTCCACTTGAGTGCCATCTCACAAAAAAGATAAATACAATAAATTAGTGCAGTCAAGTGATTAAAAAAATTAACCATGATTAATTGTACTGCTAATTAATAATAGAATACCATATATATAATTTTTTTGGATGTTTTCCACATTTTCAAATATATTGATTTAAATTACAACATGTAACACAAAATGTACAGTACTCACTTTATATTTATTTTATTATAAATATTTGCACTGTAAACAACAAAAGAAATAGTATTTTTCAATTCACTTACTACAAGTATTGTAATGCAATCTCTTTATCAATTTGTAAGCGCAATTTACAAATATAGAATTATGTAAAAAAAATAACTGAATTCAAAAATAAAACCATGTAAAACTTTAGAACTTACAAGTCCACTCAATCCTGCTTCTTGTTTGGCCAATCGCTCAGACAAACAAGTTTGTTTACATTTGCAGGAGATAATGCTGCCCGCTTCTTGTTTACAATGTCACCTGAAAGGGAGAACAGACGTTTGCATGGCACTGTTGTAACTGGCGTTGCAAGATATTTACGTGCCTGACTTGCTAAAGATTCATATGACCCTTCATGGTTCAACCACGCTTGTTGGATCATATAAAGAAGTTCTGTATTAAAATTACAAATGAGTTTGATTCCCCAGAGTTTAAATTCCAGGGTATTATTAATTAAGAGGTCTCTTGGTTTTTGATATTGTTTCTCTCCCTCTATGTGTGAAACTTGCAAGCTGCTAATTGTATTAGTACATTTCTAAGACAGAGTCTGTTCTAAAGCAATTCTTTGTAACAACAAATACTCAGAGAGAGACTCAAAGCAATACTCTGTAACAACAGAAACAGCACACAGAGACTTCCCGCCCTTTTGTTGTATTCATCTCGCTTTGTTAACAATTGTGATTAAAACAGAGATAGAGGATGTGTGTGGATAATAACTGAATGACCAGGGAGGTGCCAGCCTAGGAATCCAGTGTCCATCAGCTGAAGAAGGCATCAAGTGGAAATAACCAGAGGACCCCCGGAGGGCAGACTGGAATCCACCCACCAGCCTCAAGAATGGAAGAATCAAAGAACAAGATAACATCTGACAGCACGGAGCCGTCAGGAATGTGCCATCTGCTGATTGATTTAGCAACAGCATGATGAAGCAATTCCCATAGACTGGCATAGGAAGAAATTCCTATAAAAATGGACTCTAGAAAGTGAGAACTTTGGGGTCTCATTCTGCAAACCAACTTCCAGGAGCATCAGATGTGCATCTGACAAGGCCCTGCTCCCTCCTCATGTCTAGGCCACCTGGCCAGTGGCTTGGCATGAGCAACTCTAAGGCTGGTAACTATGATAACAACCTTGCAGAACCTGTGTGTGTGTGTGTGTGTGTGTGTATATGAATGAATGTGTGAATAAATATGAGATTGAATGGAATGTTATAGCTATAACTAACTGCTTACTATGATTCTTTCTGTATTCACAATAAATGTGGTATTTTGCCTTTTTCCCTTTAATAAGATGCTGCTGGTTTTTATTTTATTAGTATAACACACTGACGATGGGTTCTGCTTGATAACGATCCAAAGCAGTGCAGACCAACACATGTTCATTTTCATCATATGAGTCAGATGCCACCAGCAGAAGGCTGATTATCCTTTTTGGTGGTTCGGGTTCTGTAGTTTTCACATCGGAGTGTTGCTCTTTTAAGACTTCTGAAAGCATGTTTCACACCCCATCCCAATCAGATTTTGGAAGGCACTTCAGATTCTTAAACCTTGGGTCAAGTGATGTAGCTATCTTTAGAAATCTCACATTGGTACCTTATATTCTGTCAAATGTGCAGTGAAAGTGTACTTTAAATGAAGAACATGTGGGGTCATCATCTGAGACTGCTATAACATGAAATATATGGCAGAAAGCGGGCAAAACAGAGAACATAAGACATACAATTCTCCACCAAGGAGTTCAGTCACAAACTTAATTAATGATTTATTTTTTAATGAGCATCATCAGCATGGAAGCATGTCCTCTGGAATGGTGGCTGAAGCATGAAGGGACATACGAATGTTTAGAATATCTGGCACATAAACATCTTGCAATGCCGGCTATAAAAATGCCATGAGAATATCTGTTCTCACTTTCAGATGACATTGTAAATAAGAAGCGGGCAGCATTATCTCCCGTAAATGTAAATAAACCTGTTTCTCTTAGCGATTGGCTGAACAACAAGTAGGACTGAGTGGACTTGTAGGCTCTAAAGTTTTATTGTTTTGTTTTTGAGTGCAGTTATGTAACCAAAAAAATCTACATTTGTAAGTTGTGCGTTCATGATAAAGAGATGCACTGTGGTACTTGTATGAAGTGAACAGAAAAATACTATTTCTTTTGTTTATCATTTTTACACTGCAAATATCTGTAATAAAAATAATATAAAGTGAGTACTGTACACTTTGTATTCTGTGTTGTAATTGAAATAAAAAAATTTGAAAATGTAGAAAAAACCAAAATATTTAATAAATTTCAATTGGTATTCTATTGTTTACCAGTGCAATTAAAACTGCAAATAATGGCAATTAATTTTTTAAACTGTGATTAATTTTTTTGAGTTAATCACATGAGTTAACTGCAATTAATCAACAGCCCTATACTAAATATTTTAAGTTTTCTATAAAAGGGAACTTGAAACATACATCGTAGTCCTTTGTTAAAGTTCTTCCCTTTACATCATGTCACTAGGCATAGTAAAGTGCCTTTAATTAAGTTTGCCCTTCGATACCATTAATTCAAAAAGAATTATTACCTAATAAACATCAGAAATATTATAAATAAAATAATCGATAATATTCTTACATCTGCTGATAATTGTTTTGTGTAGTTATTGCCGAAGACCACACTTTCAAGAGTAGGAATCACAGTGTCCCTGTTCTGTGCTGGTGTGTTCCTGTTTAACCAAGTATTCTTCACTGGACGAGGAAAGCTGCCAGAACCATTTAAAAATAGAGAAAAATATCCACTTGATTATAAACACAAAGTGAACCTAATACATGTAATAAGGAGTGTGTGCCACAATTATTTATCATAGTAGTAGACATTCTTAACACAAATCACTTGTGTTTTTAATGAAAGTCAGAGGGAATCAAGATGTTCAGGTAATTACTGGTTTTGAGTCCCTTCTTACAACAACTGCAAAGCTTGTTTGTTGAAAATTTCTTGAAAAGTATTAAAAAGGACACCTTGGATGATCAGATTTTTAAAAGGATTTAAAAATATTTCTGGGTGAACTGGTAACATTCTGCTCCAATGACGACTGTAGCAACATGAAAATTACTACTTCGTTTTAGTGTCTCTTTTCACATTTTACTGAGTTGATATATAAAGTTAAATTGCTCCATTCACTCACTATTGTCAGAGCCAAAACTGGGAAGAAAAATTTTCACATACAGAACACCAGCAAATCCAAAATTTTTGCCAGTATTGTATAAAGGTGCCATGGAAGAATATTACCCTGATTCTCTGAAGACATCATACATACAAATAAGAACAGTTTTTGCTAGCAAACATGAAATTTGTGTACCATAGCTAAGGCAGCTTAAATAATAAATTCACCTTCCTGTAATATCATTTTGCGGACTGACATTTACATGTGCACTTTGCGCACTGGAACTCACGAGAAAGAGTTCAGGGAAAGAGAAGGAGCTGACATGGAGTATTTGAAGATTCAGAAGGAAAGCAAAGAAACATACTTTAAAGAAAAATTGGTGTTTAAATAACAAAATCAATATTACTAGTGTAATGCTGTTTGTTTTTCCACCCACCACACTTATTTTTGATGTGTTCTGTAAACATAAAAATTAGTGATTTTTCCCCCACCCCCATATGAGGAACAGTTTAAGAGAACTTAGGAAAGGTGTTTGAATACAGAGTCTATTGACTCCTACAAATTTAGGAGACTAGGCAAAAGATGACCAATAAAAAGGCAGGGCAGATGTTAATGCCACTGTGACAGTGACAAGAACCTTAAAAGAAAAAGGCCAGAAACAAGGTCAAGGGCAGCAATGACGGCAACTGCAAGTGTGCTAATTGCAGCTACTGCAGGCATCTCCTTGTCTATTGGCTGTTAACCATAGTCAGCAGCTAATCCTTTTGGCTTCTGCTGTTGAACCAAATAGTCTTCTTCTAGTAATTCCCCACTAGTAGATGAGCCACCACTTTCTCCGACTAGTATGTAGCATAAACTGCTGTATTGCAAGAGAAAGTGTATTAGTCACCTATTAAGGTCAAAAACATTGACATAATATATTTACTTAAAGAACTGCATAAAAATGAGCTTCAACAGTGTTTCTGAGTTAGTCCCAGACTCAACACCATTGTTGACTTGTACTGTAAAACTAATAAAGCAGATGTAGTCAGTGTCACAGACAGAATGTATATTCTAAAAAGGAGACAGGTAAAAGAAGGATGATTTTGTCATTAAGATGCTGCTCTGAGATTTTGGTCATCTGGGTTCAATTCCCAAGCTCTGTCGCAGACTTTCTGTGAGAGCTGGTCACTAAGGCTATGTCTACACTGCACACCATGGGTGCCAGAGAGCAGGGTAAAGTAACTCCTCACTTACGGTCGTCCCGCTTAATGTTGTTACGTCGCTGATCAATTAAGGAACATGCTCGTTTAAAGTTGTGCAACGCTCCCTTATAACATTGTTTGGCTGCCGCCTGCTTTGTCCACTGCTTGCAGGAAGAGCAGCCCGTTGCAGCTAGCTAGTGGGGGCTTGGAACCAGGGTGGGCTGGCAGCCCCCCATCAGCTCCCCTAAGTTCCCTTTGTGGCAGCCGCCCAGCAGGCTATCAATTGCCAGGCAGTTCTGGTGTCCCTCCCACCACTGCCGTGTGCTGCTCCTGCCCCCTGCCTTGAAGCTGCTCCCGGGAGCCTCCTGTTTGCTGTGCAAGGGGTGTGGGGGAAGAGGGGTGCTGATGTCAGAGTGTCCCTCTCCCCCTGCTCCTCGACCCCATCTCCACAGAGCGGCGGGGAGGACACGACAGGGCTCAGGACAGAGGGAGCTTACTGGCAGCAGCTGCGGTCTCAACTTGCTGATCTACTTAAAAAGGCAGTGTACTTGGAGTGGGGTCAGAGTACTTAAAAGATCAATGTGCGTGTCTCTCTCTCTCACACACACACACACACACACACACACGGTGTGTGTCTCTGTCTCACACACACATGCACCACCCGGCACTCTGGAAAGTGGAGGGAGTGATGTGTTCCAGTGGGATAGCGTGGGTTCTTCATCTGCTTCAGTTTCCTCAGGGAATGTTTGTGGCCACTGCCATGCATCTATTATGTTTCCTCCCTCCATTCCATTTAATATAGCCTCACACTCTACTGCATTGTAGAGTGTGAGGCTATATTAACAACAAGGTGTTAACCCTTGAGGGCTCAGCCGAGTGCTAGTTCATCATTTAGCAGCAAGGCATTCCCTGGAAATATCCCACCCTCTGACTTCACCAGCTCAACCAAGCTTCACAATCATCATTACTGTGTACACTATTAAACTGTTTGTTTAAAACATATACTCTGTGTGTGTGTGTGTGTGTGTGTGTGTGTGTATGTATGTATATATGTATGTATGTTTTTGTCTGGTGAAAAAAAATTCCCTGGAACCAAATCCCCTCATTTACATTAATTCTTATGGGAAAATTGGATTCGCTTAACATCGTTTTGCTTAAAGTATCATTTTCAGGAACGTAACTATAACATTAAGCGAGGAGTTACTGTATTTGTAGCTACATGCCAGAATGAAAAACAAGCTGCATCCACACTGTGGCTTGTAGCTACACAAGCTGGGAAAGGTCTCTGGCAATGGGGAGGTAGCAGGGGAAGGGTCTGGCAGTCCCTGAAGCAGAGAAAGGATCTGGAAGCAGGGAGCTGTCAGAGCCTTTCCCCAACACAAAGAGAGACTCTGGCAGTGGGGAAAGGCTCCCACAGTGGGGAAGAAGCAGGATACTACATAGCTAAATATAGCAGGGTACACAGAAGAGGCACTGCTTGAGGGTATAGAGAACCATGTAGGGTACATACCCGAAGGTGTGTCTTTACTCACACAAGCAGTGCCTCACTGTCTACATTGCTATTTACAACCATTCTAGAGGGACATGCAGAGTATGTACTCTACACATTGCTGTAAAGAGTGTGCAGTATAGACATACCCTTAATGTTTCTTTCCCCAGTTCTGATCTTTGTAATGGCAGGGAAAACAATACTTTATTTCTAAATAGGCAAGACAAAGGGTGAGAGATAGTCTCTTAAAATGTATATGTACAGCATCAAGCACAATAAGACCCTGCTCTCATTTGGGACATCTAGGTACTTCTGTAATACAAATAATAAATATTCATATAAAACCATGCAGTAGGTTCTCTTACTGCAATAATGGTAAAAGCTGCTCAGTTGAGTCCTATTTTTGTTGTTGAGTCACATTAGTACAAATGTAGAATATAAATGTAGGCTACAGAGCACGATATTGCCTATTTGTGTGTGGGGGGGAAGAGGAATAGATGGTTATTTTCTTAATTTGGCATTATTCGTTTAGTTTGCATAAATATATATACTACTTTAAAAAAAGGTTTGTTTGTAGGTTTTTCCATTGCTGCAGACAACCTCATACAACGCTTTTAAAGCTCCATCAATTAGATTACTGCAATGTAAGTTTCATATGGGCACGTAAATACAAGAAAGAAACTCTTAAAATAAACACTTTAACACATACTGGTAAGGCCATCAGAAAGGTACCAGTAGAGCATACCACCAAATACATGATCACTCCAAACCCTGCTAGAATGAAAATGTACAAGCCCACATACTCCCTTATTCATTATTCTTCAATCTCTTCCTGCAAAAAATAATTACAGCATAACACTGTGGGGGGAAAAAGTGGTGTTACTCTACCAAGCTCTGTCCACAAACTAAGCTCCTCCACTCAGGACAAAATGAAGTATCACATGCAGTAAACTATGCTCAAATTCATAACAGGGTTATCCCTCTTCTTTCTGGCATATCCTTTGATAATCTATGTAATAGTTAAAGCTTATGTGGATAGTGTCATCACTATGCTCCAGAGTTAAAAATGCATTTAAATAATCAATGGAAGTTTACTCAGCTACTTTTTCAAGCTGCCTGTACACTCAAAAGACGCTGCCATACTGGTTATACTGTGTTCACATTATATAGCTTTTCTTCACATCTACAAAGGATAGAGATGTCATAAAAAAAATGAAAGCAGATTCTGGAGTACAAAGTGTAGAAATCAGGAAAGAGTACTATCTCAACAAACCGTTGAGAGTCAGCTCAGTTCAACCCAGGGATAAAAAAAATAAATAAAATGAATAGAGATCACCTCACCCTAACTACAGATTGTATGAACACTAGCATAGGGTGATATTGCTTGCTGTCTACTTCTTTTCTCTTGGGTGTATTCAATTATTGCAGTTATCTGTCTTTTACCACCTGCACTCCTTTTATTCTACATAAACTAGAACTCAGAATTTTACAGTTTTAAGGAAAAAAACAAAAAAAAAATCACCAAAACAGCTTCTAATGTAAAACATCATAAAGCACAATACGTCATATACATAAACTTTACTCTAAGTATTACATCCATTCTCACCAAAATTCTCACATAAATTACAATAACTAATAATCCAATATATTAATTGAAACTTATTAATGGGATATTACCTTATCAATGGCTGGTGTAGAGCAACCAAAGAAGCATGGATTGTAACAGATATGACAGAGAGGTGGAAGTAATCAAACATAACATTGACGTAGTGATGAAGGCCCTGGTGTAAGCTAAAGTGCAACTTTAAAGTTCGGCTACTAATTAGTTGCAGTGTGCTCAGATCATCTGGCCTTGGGGGGGAAAAAAAAATAGTGTAATTACTGGAACAATGTTTTAAGTCATCCAATAATAAAATCCCCAATACAAGAAACAGCAACCCATTATTTAAACACCACAAGGCCATAGCCATATTGGTCTTCAATAACTTTAATATATAAAATATAGTATTGTTTTATACTATATCATGTATAAATATAATTACATCTCTAAAAGGGAACAGCAGGATGGATAGGTAAACAACAAGGAATCTCTCCTAAACCCAGTAATTAAAGTCTGCAACCTGTCTCAAGAGATTAACTGGATTTTTTTGCCCACACAAATAAACTTCTAATATATGAATAGCGGAATAAAATAAAATAAATTAAGCATTCTAGATTTTAAAAATGTTTCAGCAATATTTTGTATGTACGATGTTATAATTTTAATCTCAATTTTAAAAAAGCAGTTAACAGGCATTTCAATTATTTAATAAAATTTGTATTATTTTTAAATTTACGAATAATCTGTGTCTGTGAAGTGTAGATCTAAGGATAGCAGGAAATTCATTTCATTAAGGGATTCTTCAATCTGAAAAGGAGTTAAAAACATGACAATTATGTTCAGTATTTTGCAAATTATGCCTAAAGGATCTGAATAGTTAAATATACTTGAATGGCAGATTACCTTCCGTTCATCTAAGAGCATTTTAATTTTGAAGATCATAACATCATTCACAGAAACCTCCTCATTTTTGTAAAGAATTTGGAACGTTTTACTGCAAATTACATTGTCATGGACTGAAGCTGGAAAGGCAAGATCAGCACCTGAAAATCAAGCAGACACAGAAGTTTTAAAAGAATACAATGCAGATAATGAAAATATTATTTTGTTCTACTTTGAAATCTATTATTATTTTACAGTATCCAAATGTATGCTAGACACCATACAGCAGCCAAAGTCCCAATCTCGAAGAATTTCTATCTAATTTCAGATATGATGCAATGAAGTGAGCCAATAAAACCAGGGAGAGGAGACACTGCAGGAAGAATAGCGGGTTACAGCAGTTAGATTACAGAGTTACTGAGCAAAGGTGTAACACAGTGCAGTCAGATTTTTTTTAAAGAAATATTATATATATATATATATATATATATATACACACACACACACACACATATAAATATATATAACGTAACATGCAAGTGTATTTGTTGCTTCATTTCTTGTGGCACTGGCTTAGAAGTGATTCTTCGGGAGTGATTTAAAATGAGAAGAGGGCAGTTAAATATATTACTTCCTCTTTGTTCCCATATAAGATCCAATAGTCTCATGCTTTTTTAAAAAAAATTGGAAATCAAACGAACAGTACAGTTAAATTCTTCAATCATATACAAATATGTAACTACTGATCAAAAAGGTGGTGGATTAAGGACCCTACATTATTTTTGCCTAACAAATAAACGAAATAAGGTAGTGAAATGTAATGATGAGAAGCACACTGAGATTTCCTGCATCTTCAAAACAATGATACATAGAACTTTTCATCTCCATATTGTTTTACAAACTTTAAGTAATCAGTCCTCTTAGCATCGTGTGAAACAGTTACATATTACCCACATTTTAGAGTTGGCAAAATTCAGGCAGAGATTAACTGACTTGACCAAAGCCACCGAGTGAATCAGTGGATGATCTGGAATTAGAACATAGGTGTTCTTGGCCTCCAATTCTTGCACGTTATTCTGACAACATTACATCACATTCAAGCCTTGTATTTGTTCAATATGGCACATTTACTTTAAGGACAGGATGGACTGAAGAAAAGGAGTGAACAGAAATATGGCAAGAATGGTTAGAGAAGTGGAGAGACTGACTTGACAGGAAAGATTTAAAAAATTGTGTAAGTAATGACTAGTCTACAAATATTTGAAGGGTGTGACCACCAGAATGTAGAGGATTCATCCAGCAAACAGAAGAGGTTTAGCTAGGAGTAAATGAGATACAATTTTAAAAGCAAATATTTACTGACAGTGAAATGCATTAGCCTACTGAATAATGTCCAAGGAAATACACTTAAAACTAGAGTAGGCAAAATAAGAGTAAGAGCACTACTATGCAGTATATACTATACTATAAGGAACAATCCTCAACGGGCAGACAGGGCAATATCCTAATAGATGTTTTCCACTTCTAGATTCTGTAAGTGTGGCAGACAATGCCCTTCTATAATCCTCATAACATTTTAGTTTTGCCTTTTGCAATCTATCAGGAACTAGAAGCAAATATAAGTATTAGTTCATTGGAGTGTTTTTAATCTACATACTCAGGTTATATTTATGATTGCTATGAGCGCTATCCAACTCAAATTCAAGTTCTCTGTCTCCAGCCATGCAAGCTCTCTGCATGCCTCTTGGACTAAACAGCTATACAAGCTGCATCCTGTCAATCCCAAGGGATAGTCACTTTTGACAATGACTTCACAATGAGTCACATTTTCAGCTTGACAGAGCTGCCCAAATCTTGTCCCTTTTATATACTACACCAGTCCAGAATGGTATAGGAGAATGACGCTGAGGATGCACTGAGCTCACATGAGTTTGGAGGTGAGAAAGAATAGATTCTTTCAAGGCAGACCAGCAGTCAGCAAAGAAGAATCTTTAAAGTCCACATGTGGACAAACACAATGTAGTACCATGAGCACTCCCTCGTGGCCCAAAGTCACTTTCACTGGGCAGGGGGTTGAGGTGCAGGAGGGGGTATGGGCTCTGGGCTGAGGCCAAGGGGTTTGGAGTGTGGGAGGGGGCTTAGGGTTTAGCCTGGGGTTGGGGTGCTGGCTCTGGGAGGGAGTTTGGTGCAGGAGGGGACTCAGGGCTGGGTTACAGGAGGGGGTGCAGATTCTGGGAGGGAGTTTGGGTGCGGGAGGGGATTCAGGACTGGGGTAGAGGGTTGGGGTGCAGGAGGGGTTCAGGATGCAGGCTCCGGCTGTGAGGTGCTTACCTCGGGCGGCCCCTGGAAGCGGTGGCATGTCCAGCAGCAGCTCCTAGGCTCAGGGGCAGCCAGGCAGCTCTGCACGCTGCCCCCGCCCACAGGCGCCGGCCCCGCAACTTCCATTGGCTGTGGTTTCCTGTTCCCAGCCATTGGGAGCTGTGAGTCGATGCTGGGAGTGGGGGTTTCGTGCAGAGACTCCCTGGGCCCGCCTGTGCCAAGGGGCCACAGGGACAAGCTGGCCACTTCCGGGAGCCGCACGGAGTCAGGGCAGGTAGGGAGCCTGCCTTAGCCCCGCTGCGCTGCCAGACTTTTAGCAAGCTAAAATCTCCCCAATTGGCTTCAGTAGCCTCTGGGAGATCGAGCCCAGCCCCAGCTGCGCTGGCCAGATCAGCCCCAGCCCCAGCGGCGCCAGCCAGCCCTTTGATCCGTCAACCGCTTAAACAAATTTTTTTAATTGTTTAAACGGTTAACTTTTAAAATGATATTTACATCCCTACTTCCCCGTACCTCTTGTCTGGAGTTTATCCTTCTCCAGATGCCTTTTCAGACATGCCATTGCAGTCTCAGCCCTGCTCCTTGGGCAGGGTCTCTCATGTGGTTCCCTGCCTGGAGAGCTTTCTCCTGAACTTCCACAGCTTACTGTCAGGTTTCCAGCCTTTGGCAGTTTCAGTTACTCTCTCAACCACACAACCTTGCAGCTTCCTGCTACCTTTTCTATTAGAATCCCCTGATTTCACTTACGGGGGGGGCTCGTCTGGTAATCAGGGCTGGCTTAGCCCCAGGATCTCCAGCCCCCAGGCAAGCCATTCTGTTACAAACACATATTCCTGTGAAGAGTCCTTTTGGGCTGATTCCTCAAGTCCAGTTATCAAGTAGGGCCTATGAAAGCATCGTCTACTGCATCATCCTGCCTTACACTTACATGACTGGGACAGTTCCCTTTCCTCATTTCTCCCCGTTAATAAATAAATAAATAATAAAATCAAACTCAAAGAGCAGTGATTGTGAGTGAGACCCTGTCAAGGTTCCTTCCCCACTCTGAACTCTAGGGTACAGATGCGGGGACCTGCATGAAAACCTAAGCTTACTTTTACCAGCTTAGGTTAAAACTTCCCCAAGGTACAAACTATTTTACCTTTTGCCCTTGTACTTTATCGCTGCCACCACCAAACGTCTAACTGGTATATAATTGGGAAAGAGCCCGTTTGGAAACATCTTTCCCCCAAAATCCGCCCAAGCCCTACACCCTCTTTCCTGGGGAAGGCTTGATAAAAATCCTCACCAATTTGCATAGGTGAACACAGACCCAAACCCTTGGATCTTAAGAACAATGAAAAGCAATCAGGTTCTTAAAAGAAGAATTTTAATTAAATAAAAAGTAAAAAGAATCACCTCTGTAAAATCAGGATGGTAAATACCTTACAGGGTAATTAGATTCAAAACACAGAGAATCCCTCTAGGCAAAACCTTATGATACAAAAAGACACAAAAACAGGAATCTAAATTCCATCCAGCACAGCTTATTTTCTCAGCCATTTAAAGAAATCAGAATCTAACGCATATCTAACTAGATTACTTACTAAGTTCTAAGACTCCATTCCTGTCTGTCCCCAGCAAAAGCATCACACAGATAGAGAGAGAGAGGCTTTGTTTTTCCCTCCCCCCAGCTTTTGAAAGTATCTTGTCTCCTCATTGGTCATTTTGGTCAGGTGCCAGCGAGGTTGTCTTAGCTTCTTAACCCTTTACAGGTGAAAGGGTTTTTCCTCTGGCCAGGAGGGATTTGAAGGTGTTTACCCTTCCCTTTATATTTATGACACAGCCACAGCCTCATTCACTAAACTACCCTGATTCATCCCCACAGCAGGTTCATTCTATGCACTGAGTGAGGCAGGGAGTCTGTGGAAAGAATAGTAAAATCAGGTAATTAAAAACTGTATCATAATTGACATGCAGAACGGGGCCAAATTAAGATTACACAAGCAACCTTAATTCTGGCATTCCCTAACTTTTCAGAGCTCAACTTTCCAACTTTTACATTTAAAAAACACAAACTGAAAAACAGTAATTCTCTCATGTGGAATTCATGACGCTCTCCAACTTGAGTCCTCAGTGCAGTCCAAGCCTTTAGATACATAGCAGAGACCTCTACCACTTGAGCTAAAAGACTAACTGGTAGCACAAGTAAGTTGTCACCATCTACAAAGATCAGCTCCTAAAAGGAGCTGAGAAATACATTTCGCTTGTGAATTTCACGGCTATTTGCTGACAGCAGAGGAACATAGACACTCTGGACTCCGGAGTGCAATTCCACATTCTGAAGGAGTTTTCTGCCTATGTACAGACCCTTCTTCTGTCTCTATGTTCCTAGCATGTCTCTGTCCCCTCAGACCCCCCTGGCTCCAGCTCCTACAGTTCTTCACCCTCTCAATTCCAGTCAGGCTGCTCCTCCTGCATGTTACTTGGTGCCACCAGGGGGAACACAACAAACATGTAATCTCCACACCTGATTCTAACATTAAGTGGGAGGGAAAGTCAAGTACGAGAGGACACAGCAATGGAGCAAGGAGCAACAGAAGGTAGGAGAATGGACACCAAGAGCAAAGAGAGTGTCAATACCAACGACACTAACAGTTAGGTAGGTGATATTGGCAGTAGAATGACAGTACCTAATCGGGTGAGGAATCTGGATGAAGCCAAGCAGAAACAACTAAGGTGTCTGTACACCAACCCAAGGAGCCTGGGCGACAAAATGGAGGAACTAGAAAAGACAGTTACCTTTTCCGTAACTGGTGTTCTTTGAGATGTGTTGCTCATATCTATTCCACAATAAGTGTGCGTA